TCAGAAACTTATTTTGATTATAATAGATATAAACAAAGCTACTTAATATTGAAAATTGATTACTTTTTGGAAAATATTAAGGTGATTCATTTGTGAAATTCTAAGCCTATTATTTGAATCAATTAAATAGTATTTGTTTCAAATACAGAAATTGTTGGTTCAAATACAATTAATACAAATATTGGTTCAAATTAATGTAAAAATTATTTGCTTTAATTAAATATTTATTTTATTAAAATAAATATTTATTTGGTTTAAGTAAATGTTTATTTGAATTAAATAAATTTTTTTTTCATTTATAAGTAAAAATATATTCAATTTAAGAATCGTAAATGAAATAAATTTTTTTTTTAAATTTTAATAAAATATCTTTCGCATTTGATAGTCTAAAATAATAATAAACTATTTTTCCAGGTCGATCAAAAAAAATATTTTTGTTGATCGCACATAATGAGAGATGACTTATAAGAAAAAAGGTGTTACTGCACGCGAGGAGGAAATTTGTTACGCGTTCAATTAAATTCTCTCGTGCCAGGAAAGTTTTAAACTTTAAAGTCAATTTTACTTTTATGTGTTATAACATATACGTTACATTTGATATAGAGAAAGCAAATGATTGATTGAAAGAAGTTTTCAAAAATAAAATTACTAGTATATTTTTATGACTGTCAGCAATAATAAAAATAAATTGAATTCATATATATATAATTATTAAATAGAAGCAAAAAAAAATGAAAATAAAAAAAAAGTAAATAAAAAAACTAGTATATTTTTTTAAAAACTTTGTTTCAATATTCTTGTAAGTAAGAAAATTTTTTTCTACACGGAGAGAAATCTGCTGCGATTTTTGCTTGTGCAGTCTTTATTAATTTCATAAGTCATTTTTTGATACAATTTTAGCTTAAGACTGGAATAATTTAAATATGAATTCATGTATTTAATGTAATGGAGTGTATCAAACAAAAAACACAAGTCACGGGTGTTAATTTTGTATGAATTTCACATAAAAACTGCAAAGGGGACATGCCATAAAACTATTAGATCCTCTCTTATAAAATTTGCAAGAATGCCATCTGATTTTCAGGTGGAATTTATACAACACAATCTTACCTCCGTATACACACAGCATTTCACACACACAATCATTGTATGCTGGTGATTCCGAGGAACGGAACGCACAATACGCACGCTCGTGTTTTACTATGCGTTTTTAACCGCGAAATTTAAAATAATTTTATTTAAAAATTTTTTTAAAATATTTGTTGCTAATAAGTGATTGTTTATTAAACAGTAAAATAGAAAATTTTAAATACTGAAATTTTTAAATATTTATTAGCTAAAATGTTATTTGTTCTTTTAAAAACAGAATCTATTAAAAATAAAAAACAATTAAAAAATTTAATATTAATTACATTTGTATAAATTTATAATTATATTTATTCATTGTATTTATATATTTGTTATTATATTATGGGTATAAGTATTATTTTTATATTAAATATTAAAATATAATCACCAATATAGTATTAATATTATATATTTACATATTTATTACATTAATTAATAATTTTAATTTAATTAATTAATATATCAAATTAATTAAATATTAATAAAATATTATATATATTCAGAAAATTATCTATGGATAAATTAAATTTTATTTTATTTAATAAATAAATCGAGAATAAAGTCGAATTATTTATAATGTATGCATTATAAATAATTCGATTTTATTTATTATTTTTCTATTTTACTTTTTAATAAACAACCACTTATTGGCAACAAATATTTTTAAAAAAATTTTAAATAAAATTATTTTAAATTTCGCGGTTAAAAACGCATAGTAAAACACGAGCGTGCGCATTGTGCGTTCCGTTCCTCGGAATCACCAGCATACAATGATTGTGTGTGTGAAATGCTGTGTGTATACGGAGGTAAGATTGTGTTGTATAAATTCCACCTGAAAATCAGATGGCATTCTTGCAAATTTTATAAGAGAGGATCTAATAGTTTTATGGCATGTCCCCTTTGCAGTTTTTATGTGAAATTCATGCAAAATTAACACCCGTGACTTGTGTTTTTTGCTTAGAAACTATTTTTACAATAAATACTTGAATTTATGCTAAAAATGCAAGTGTCGTGCCATGTAATTAAAGTAATTTACTCATCCAAGCAAAAATCGCAGCAGATTTCTCTCCGTGTATAATAATTGTTTTTTATATTTAACAGTATTTTTTAAAATATTTATGAAAAATATTTTTAGAATTGTGAGCACTTGTAAAAAGGTAAATCTAAAAAAAAAGTTAACAGAAAGATTCTAATATATATATATATATATATATATGTTAAACCTTGAATAGATGTTGACTTTGAAAAGGTGGTTTTATAAAGTTTTAGAAAAAGAACAATAAATCGAAGACAAGATTCATTTTTCATGTGCGGGTTACAATAGAATTTTAAAATTCTGTCGACTATATCGTTTTATGCTTTCGTTAAAAGATTTTAAAGATGAATTATTCAAAATTTTTAACAAGACATTTTTACAAATTATTATGCAAAAATATTAAATTTTTTATTGTATACGATTTATTAATTTTTTTGGAAATTCAATAAAAAAGATTTTGATTTTTGAAACAAATAAATAATAAAGTTTTTGGTTTTTTGAAATGACGTTCTAAATTTTATATAATTTTGAAAATTAGAGACTATTAAATCGGTGTAATTTTGATATTAGTAGAAAGTTTAAATCAGACAAGAAATACCTAAAAAATAGTGCAATTTTGTTATCAGTAGAAAAAGTAAGTTTTTAGTCAGACAAAAAGATTTTAATTTTTTTACTTTTAGCTTCAGTAGTTAAAACAGAATTCAGTCAGACGAAAATATATCGAATAATTGTTTTTTCAGTAACAAGTAAAATAAAATACATTTTCTTCTAAAAAAAATATATATGTGGTAACTAAATTTTTTTTTCTAAATTGTCGGATCATTAGGGATTTTATCTTTTTATTCAACCAGACACTTTTTTTTCTAGAACAATTAAAAGGGGCTCATTCGACTCTTGTACAAAAAAAAAAAATTCTTCACCACCTGACATTTAAAAATAATCATTTTTTCTTTTTTTCACAGAAATCGTTCTCGAAAAGTTTATTCATTTCAAACAAAAACCTTTTACACGAATATGTCCCAGGGATTACAGGTTCAGCTTTTACGATAGAGTTTGAGGAGAAAAAGTATATAGAATTGGATTCTTTTATCATCTCCGTCACTCTTCTTTACATATATATATATATAAAATTCCCTTTCATTAAATTTCTACTTTTGCTTGAAATAAAAACAATCGTGATGTAATAACAACTAAATCATATATTATTACCAAGTGCATTTCGAGAAAGAAAAATATTCTCAAACGAAAAGAAACATTTTACTTTTAAATTTCTTTAAAATAATTTTTTTTAAAGTGAGAATATATTTTTTTTATTTAGATAAAAATAATGAGTTTTGTTTTTAATTGAGTGATTCTTAAATTTTCCATTCCGATGATTATTCGGTTATATTTCGAAATATTCCTCTTTGAATGAGAAGATTTTTGTACGAGAAAAAACAGTTTTATAAACCATCTTTTGATTACTTGATTCTATTTTATATTAAGTAAATAAAGATTTTAAATTTAGATACAAGAAAATAATCTCAATTTGAGAGGAATATATATATATATATATATAACGAACATTGTATAAAAGAAAAAATTTCTTCATTATAATGTAATTTATAATGGTAGTATTGTCATTTCAAAAAAAAAGAAAAACAAAAAAAATAAATTTCTCAATTTAATAGGAATATTTATGTAATTTTTATTGAAAATAAAATTTTTAGATAAAAATCAAAGAAATCTACTAATATCATAAATATCTATGATTTTACGATGCAAGTTACATGTTATTCAGAGTGTAATTAATTAATTATTAATTGGCTTGCAATGAAACTTCTGATGCAAAGAGGGTTCTTATGGACAACTTTAATTTTAGTATACTCGTTAAATTATAATTTCCATTAAACGAATTAGTTGCCTGTCGTTCAAAGTCGAGAATAAATCATTAATACCGCTTGAGTTTACTGACCCGCTATTCGAGATATATTTTCTCCTTTGCTAAATTCATTCCAGGGAATAAATATATCACAATTTTTCTGAAATCGATGTGAATCTCAATTTTCTAAAAGAAGTGTGTCACTATATACTCTCTTGGAGACAATTTTTCTTGTGGATCGTCGACACATCCGTCACTGGTGATAGTTTTTTTCTTTTTTTTTTTTTTCTTTCTTATTTGCAACACTTTTCTCTTCAAGCAGACTATTTCGCAAGTTACAGAAAAAGTGGTTCTTGAAAATCCCCTTTTTCAGAGATATATTGCCAAACGAAAAAAAATCTTTATAGAAACTTGTTTACATTGAAAAAAATGATTATTCTCAATATTAAAAGATTCTTAATTTCATGGAAATCTTTCATTAACTTTATAACTTTATATTTTATTTTATTGCAACTTTTTCTTCTATTATAGGATTTCAAAAATATTTCCTCTCAATATGAGAGGACATCATTATTTTCTGGAATTGTTTAGAATTCTCCTTTTTGTACTATATTAGAAAAATAATTTTTCAAAAGTATTTCTATTGAAATTTCGCTCAATACTAACTTAAAACTCTGAATTAAAAAAGAAAGCACTGCATTAGTTTGTTCGACCTTTTTTTTCGAAATACGAAAAACTTACCGTTTTTCAAAGATATTCTTGTTTTTAAGAGGATATCTTAAAAAGACTTAAAAAAAGTGTAATAAGAATTTTACTCTTAAAATGAGATTCTATTTTTCCGTGCATAATATTAATTCTAAATATATAGTAAAATTTCACCTAATTTAGTTATTTTTTATTTACTGTTTTTTTTAAGTATCGTCAGTAAAAATTCTTAAAAATGTATAATAAAAATAATTTAAATTTACAACTTACCCATTTGCTCTTCCACCAGATTCGCCTCCAGGACCACTGCCATTCTAACAAACAAAAAAATAAGTTTATTGAAAACAAGATAGATAACAATTCCGAAAAAAGAGGAAAATGCGTCTTTTTCGGTTTTTTTTGCGAACGACATATATATATATAACTTAAAAATAAGATACATTTTTTTTTTTTGATAAAAAATTTTCACGTCCACGAAAGCTTAAATTTTAATATGGATTTGTTTTTTTAAAATTAAATTAATTTTAATTTTATTTTTAATTAAACAATTTCTATTAAAGTAATTATCATTTTTCTCATCATGCAAAGACGACAATTTTAATAAATTTTTTTTTTGTTATACAAGCTTTCGTGGTCGTGTGTATATTTGCATAATGCTTTGCCTCTGACAGATTTCTATTATTCGCACACGCATCTTTAATTCTTTTTTTCTTTATAGTTTTATGTACATTGAGTTTGGAAAGGTCCATAAAAATGGGGAAAATCGCTCGCTTGTCATGGAAAGTCACAAAGCTGAGAGAGAAAGAGAGAGAGAGAGAGAGAGAGAGAGAGAGAGAGAGAGAGAGAGAGAGAGAGAGAGAGAGAAAAGAAATAAGACAAAAAAAAGAAAGGAAGACTTTATATATATCTACGAGTTTTATTTTTCACATTTCTTTCTCATGCAGACGCGGGCGATTTACCCTTTTTTCTCTGGACTTACAAGTAGAACAGATTACATTTTCTCGTGCGTATGTATTGCTGCAGATGTGTTCTCTATATTCTTTTTTGTTTTTTCCTTTTTTTCAATCTTCTTCATTTTTTCCTTTTCTTCAATGTTTTCTTATTTCTTCACTGTTTCTCTCTTTTCTTCACCACTTTTTTCTTTTTCCTCTACTTTTTTCTTTCTTCACTGCTTTCTTCATTTTTTTTTACCATTCTTCATTGCTTCTCTCTTTTCTTTACTGTTTTTTTTAAGGATGTTTCTTTCTTCACTGTTTTTTTTTCTTTTCTTCACCGTTTTTTCTTCATTGTTCCTTTCTTTTCGATGACGTTTCTTTCTTTCTTCATTGCTTCTTTCTTATCAAGAATTTTTTTTTCTTTCTTCACTGTTTTTTTCCTTTTCTTCATTGTTTCTTTCTTTTCAATGACGACTCTTTCTTTCTTCACTGTTTTTTTCCTTTTCTTCACCGTTTTTCTTCATTGTTTCTTTTATTTCAACGATATTTCTTTCTTTCTTCGCTGCTTTTCTTTTCTTCACCGTTTTTTCTTTACTGTTTCTTTCTTTCTTGACTCCTTTTTATTTCTTCGTTGTTACTTTCTTCACTGTTTCTTTTTTTTCTTTCTTTCTTCACTTTTTCCTCATTTATGTGTCGCTTATTTTTTAAAATTCCTATTACTTTCTCATTTTTTTTAGCAAAAATATTTTCCATTAAAGTGATAGAGAGAGAGAGAGCCACGTGATTTTAGATGAATAACCGTGCCAAGAATGATTCAACAACTTTTTCCTTGCCAAGTTTAACCTTTCCTTTTTTGTTACCGTGAAGAAAAAATGTGCCAATCCACATTTTCTTCATCAATCAACGTTCAAAGACAATGGCTATTGAACTCCCTCCACTGTTAATCAGCAAAAGAATTCTCTTCATTCTCACGAGCCTATAAAGAAAGTCTGACCATACCCAGACTCAATCTACTGATTTTTTTTTCTCTCTCCTTTATGTATATATACATTCCTCAACATTCTTTTTCATCTTTATTCTCTCATTTTCTTTTTTCTTATATCACTCTTCATTCTTTTCCAACATTTATTTTTCCATTTCTACTTTGTTTTTATTTCTTTCCTTTTTATAAGATATATTTTTATTTAGATTTTAATTTTCGTTGTATTTTGCTTTTTTTTAATTCTTCTGAGTTTCATTCTTCTATATAATAATAAATTTTTGTTTTTTTTTTGTATATGAAAATGAAGTCGTTCGCAATATCAACGCAGAAATGGAATTAGAGAGAGATAGAGAGATAGAGAGAAAGATATATATAATGTATAGTATATAACAGCTTGTATAAATATATCACGTATAATACTTGTAAATCTGTTATATCAATAGACGTAATAATAATTAATATAAACTTATTGATAGCGTAACAAGTGTAATATTGGTTTTAGAGATAGATTCGAGCGTACCATTTTTTTTTTTCATTTCATTTTTTGGACATCTATCTTTATATTTTTAATGGGGTTTTTTTTTGCCCCTCCCCTCATTCGCCCTCCCCCCCACCTACATATTCGCCTCTTCAATCCCATTAAGCTGAGACAATACAAAACGAACGACTTTGTCGTCATTGTAGTACATCGCAGGATATATTTATATAACATCGTCGGTCGGGTTGCGTCTCGTTTGAGAAGAAAGAGCCACTTCACAATATTCATACTTTTTTTTCCCTTTCTATGCATATAGTATATTCTACTCTGTAATTAATTCTTAATGATGTAACACTCATGTTTTAAAATTGCTTCTGTATCAATTATAAAATTCTTATTTCACAAATTTTTTTAAATTTCAAATTATAAAACTAAGTTTAGAAATTTACAAAATTTAGAAAATTAATAATTTAATTTCAAAATCAATTTTTTCTTTATTAATTTTCACAAGATTATAAATTTTCTTTGTCATTTTGTATTTTAATATTTTTTACATTTTTTATTTTTAAGATTATTTTATAGTTTTTTGTAAATATTAAAAAAAAAATTGTTTAAATAAATCAGATTTATTTGTGATAGCAATCTCTGAATAGATAAATATTTGTTTGGTTCTCTGTCGCTTCTTGTCCCGAGACGCTCTCGACTTTAGGGAAGAATACAACTTAGTAAACATATATATGTAAAGACATATATATGTATATATATAAATATACATATATATATATATATATAATATCTATCAATAGCGTCGCTTCGCGAGTATATTTCTGACAAGCATTACGTATATATAATAACGTAACATTGGGTAATTTAAGTCTTATAGTTGGTAATGATATTTTTTTGCCATTTTAACTATGTTATTATAGGCCTTATAACAATGTTCTAACGTTTAATACACGCCACTATATTTATATATTTTATATATAATATAATTTCGCTGATTCTAAATTCTAATTTATAAGCCTTAATTATTCGCTGTTTTTACATCAAATCGATGAAGTTTTCATTTTTAATGATATGACATTGTGAATGTATCGTGTTTTTATGTGTGATAATGTATGAGGATAATAATAATAATAGGATATCAAGGAATTATATATTGACATCGAGCTCTTTATATTTCTGTTTCTAGGCAATTTCTCAATTTTCTAACATTATATTGGTAAGCATATTAATTGATATCACAACTGATTACGAGAATAAAAAAAAAACAAATTTCTTTTTCTTTTTTCACAAAAAAATATTGAACTTTCTTTCAGTATAACATTTTTTATACGTTAGCCTTTACAATTAATTTGACAAACATTGTTTAACGATTGATATAAAATCATAAAATCATAAAATCATAAAATCATAAAATCATAAAATCATAAAATCATAAAATCATAAAATCATAAAATCATAAAATCATAAAATCATAAAATCATAAAATCATAAAATCATAAAATCATAAAATCATAAAATCATAAAATCATAAAATCATAAAAATCATAAAAATCATAAAAATCATAAAAATCATAAAATCACAAATAAAAAATTACAAATAAACCAAGTAATAAATCATAAAACAGTAAATAATAAAAAATAAACCAAATAAATCATAAAATGTATGTTATATTTTTTAATTATTTTATAATTTCCTTAATTTAACACTTTGCTATGAAAGGGATCATTTTTTTGTAAAACCGTATACATTTAGAATCATAAAATCTTAATATCATAAATCGTGATAGTATTGATAATCATAAATCATAATTGTAATCATAAAATTTAATCCTAATAGTAAATCATATTCATGATAATAAAAAGATAATAATAATGACAATAAAAATAGTTGTAATAATAATAATTATTATTAATATTGAAATCATTAACAATGTTTATGAAATTTATGAAGGATTATGTAAAAAAATTTATACAAGAATATGGAATTCTTTTCAATATTATTATGAAACAAGGAATTTAAAAATATTATTATGTAAATTTTTGTGTATTTTCGTAGGTAGTTATTTATATTTTTTATGATTTATGATTGTACCCGTTGAGTGGTAGAATTTTCTGAAAGTGTCATATATATATATATACAAATTTGTATAAATTGCAGTGAACGTTGTTAACAGAAAAGCTTACTCAGTGGAAAACAAGTGTTAAATTTTGATCGAAATGTAAGTTATTAAGCCCAGAGGACGAGATGTGAATATAAGTTGTCCCTTGATAATATATTTTATATATAGATGTATCATTCTTCAATGTAGCTATAGTAACCATTTTGCTATCGACCACTATATTATTATACTTCTGAATTTTAACAAAGAGAAACTCATAATGCAAAATTTTATCTCTTGGGCTTATAATTAAAAATATTAACGATATTAAACGACAAATATTGACATTAATTATATAATTCTTTAAAATTTGAATTTACAATTGTCTATAATTAAATAATTAATCTCTAATTGACTCTTTTTTAATTTGAACACGATTATTGTGTTTGTACATAGCCCCTTTTTTTGCGTCTAATTATAAGTTTGGCATTCAAATTGAGTTATAATAGAAAATTTCACATTGTTCAAAATAATTCTGACCTATGTTTTATTTTTAACATTTGCATTTTAAAAAAAAGTAAAATTGTAGTTCAAGATTTTAATTTTCTTTTATAAATAACATTGTCGAAAAATTTTGTAGACGATTTTTCTTTTCTGTTCCAAGTCGTGCTTATGTTAGTTATAACGATACTAGCGCTCTTGCGGAGAAACTGTTGCAACTCAGATGAGAGATAATTATTACAAATGGCGGACATGTAAATTTAAAATTTTTAAAAAAGACCACGTAGATCTGCACGAACGTTTTGTGTTTAGC